CTACCCCTTTTACATGGTGATTTATTATGTTACTAATCTTAAATATGACTGGTTTATTTTGCGTCTTTAATGTAGCCTTGTGTTGGGCACCACTTTTTATAACTGCTCTTATTTTGTTTTTTCCCTCCCACTCACTCCTTGTCTACAGTTGGGTGCCACATGATCTTATAACCACGTCGAGGGTATCGGGAGTGGTGTGAGGATAGAAACAGGAATAATGTTCAGGTTGCGAACATGAGAATTCCACTCAGGGCTTAACAGACCCTGCTCTGATGAGAGAGGGTATTTTGAACAAGTCCCTGGACCACACTCTACTAGTATAACGATGAACTTTGTTTATTTTTGACAGCATTACATAATATTACATGAATCAGTCATGTTAGCCTGTTACAACTACTCTGGTGCACAACTGTACTGTTCACCACAACAATGAATACACTGAATACAACGAACACAGTAATACATACTCACCGAATACACACTCTGCTCTGTGCCGTCTGACATCGGCCTTTAAATACTTTTAATTCCAGTCTGCAGCCACCTGCTTACGCTTGTTCCTCCCTTGTGGATTTCTTATACCCTGAAGTTGGAGGCGATATGTTCCTCTGAAATGTCAGTTAACACAGTATTCATATGGTGCCACATTCCAGAAGATGGCATTCATCATACTCTCTGCTGTACAAACCTCAAATCTTACAACTTTGTGATTGTTCCTACATGAGGGCCAAACTATATAAAATGACACATTTGTCTTTTTGTATTGTGTGTGTATTATTTGTGGGTGACTTTTTCTTTTCCTTCTTCTTGATCTATGGAAGGTACTTGTAATTTTTTAATTTTGAGCTACAATTTCTCTTTATTTGTTTTTATTTTCTTTAGCGATCTTGTGTATATTCATTCAGTTATATAGGTGGTTGATAACTGATTTCTTATTCGCATATAGGTGATGGGCTGTATTATGTAGTATGATATCTGTGGAGGTAGATTTCCTGTATATCTTGAAATTCAGCTCATTTTGGTTCTTTGTGATTGTTAAATCAAGGTAATTTATCTTATTTTGAGTTTGTTGCTTCATAGTGAATTTAAGTTTAGGGTGTATTGCATTAAATTCCTCTAGTGCATTGATAATGTTTGTTTTCTGTACGTTATATACGATTAGAATGTCATCCACATATCTATCGTAATCTGTAATTTGATGTTTTCTTAAAATAAGTGCAATTGATGTATGTTCTAAGTGCTGTAAGTATACATCTGCTAAAATAACCAATGTTCGTGTTCCCATTGCTGAAACTTCATTCTGCGTATAATGTTGTGGTGTATAGACCCATTGCTAAGCAGTGAATCTGTAAACATCGGCCATTGCTAGGTAACATCTGCAACATGCACTCAACAATGGAAGTACGGCGTTTTCTGTGTGGTCCGCACCATGACTTTTGCAGTGCAACAGTGAGGTAAACACTCATCTAGAACAATAGAGGGGCTGTGTTTTCTGTGTGTTTGGTGTGGAGGCTATTTAGTGATGGTTGCAGGCTCATACCCATGTGGAGGCAGGGTTGAATACCTCCGCTGTGACCCTAGGAGTCGTAGGAGGTGACGAAATTGGAGGTCTCGAGTCTGAGGCCGTAAAATATGGTTGCTAGTCCTGCACTGGCAAGGGCCAGCAGCATATACGAGGGGGAGGGGGGGACCCAAAAATAACCGGAACCGACCTGTTGCACGCGCATGCTTTGTAGTTACGAGTTGTGCTGCTAGGTGGTGTTAGCTGGGGGTCTCCCGCGACTGTTAGTGAGCTGGCGTCAGTCTGAGTTAAGTGGTTTGTCTGTGGTGCTCTGTTGTGTGCGTTCCTGTTTCAACCCTTTGGCGATTAGTGAGATGGCCGACCAGAAGGAACAAAGAGTGTGCGTGAAATTTTGCTTTCTGTTAGGGAAAACTGCAGCCGAGACTGTTGGGATGCTTCGGCAAGCCTTTAATGATGATGCTTTGGGGAAATCACAGGTCTACGAGTGGTTTTCCCGTTTCAAATCTGGCAACATGTCAACAGAAGACATGCCACGCCCCGGGCGTCCTTCGACAGGAAGAAATGACGAAAACATTGCCAAAATCAAACGTGCAATTGATGAAGATCGTCGAAAGACCATTGACCAACTTTCTGAGGAAACGAACATCTCATGGAGCACGGTCCAGCGAATTTTAACCGAAGGTTTGCACATGAGACGGGTGTCTGCAAAATTTGTTCCTCGCTTGCTCGGAGATGACCAAAGAGAAAACCGCGTGAATGTTTGCCGCGACTTGAAGAGTGAAGTGCAGAACGATCCAGAATTTCTTAAAAGAATTGTGACTGGCGATGAGTCTTGGTGCTACGGGTACAATCCAGAATCAAAACAATCATCAAGCCAGTGGAAAATTCCAACTTGACCACGACCGAAGAAAGCGCGTCAAGTGTGATCCAATGTGAAAACAATGTTGATTTGTTTTTTTGATGTGAATGGCATTGTCCACAAAGAGTTCGTTCCGCCAGGACAAACAGTGAACCAACATTTTTACCTGGATGTGTTACGAAGATTACGAGAGAGTGTGCGACGAAAACGGTCCGAAATGTGGAGAAATGGGAACTGGTTGCTTCACCACGACAATGCTCCAGCCCACACAGCTTTGACGGTCCGACAGTTTTTGACAAGCAACAACATGGTGATTGTGCCTCATCCACCTTACTCACCCGACCTGGCTCCGTCGGACTTTTTTTTGTTTCCACGGATGAAGAGAAGTCTGAAAGGAAAGCGATTCCGTGATGTGGATGAAGTCAAAGAAAACACGCTAAAGGCTTTGAACAGTATCCATCCTCAAGAATTCCAGCACTGTTTTGAGCAGTGGCAAAAGCGTTAGGACAAGTGCATTAATGCACATGGACAATACTTTGAAGCGGACTAATATACAGTTCAATAAAAATGCAAAAATAAATTCCAGTTATTTTTGGGTCCCCCCTCGTACAAAAGACAGACCCATCTCTGATCAGAGAGGATGCCTAACGAAAACAAGACCATAACTGTCAAAGAGTAATAAATATCAGGTCATGAGCCCCAGATGGGGTTCGACACCAGGACTTACTGACTGACTGTCAGTCACAATGTTACTTTGACTTTGGCAGTTTCCAGGCTTTAAGTGACAGTGACAAAGTGGAGAATCCAGGAGGGTTCAGCAGGTGAGAGTACAAGGATGAGAATGGAGCATGTGATTTGAATACTTTATTTATGTGTAATATTTAGAGTGTGTGACTCAGTGAGACTGTGCTACTTTCTGTCTTAAGATCATTGCCAGGAGATGACTAGTGAAGAGGGAGAACCCTAGTGCATGTACAATGTTGAAATGGAAAGTGTGTAAATAAGCAGTAGCACTGTATTTCCTGTATTTAAGTTTGCTTAAGAGAGTCTGTAACCAAAGTGCCAATGAATCCAATCATCTGAACTAGAACCTGTTATTTCATCACGTGTACCACCCTACACATGACAGTATTGCTCATTAATCTGTATGTAATTCTATCTAACACAACTAGGAGCTTTAATATTTATTTTTTCTTTATTCCCTTCACATTATTTCTATTCAGAACTTTGTTTATTATGAAGATACTGTATTGTGAGATGTGGCGCCATGTAGATTTTGTGTGAACAGACATTTCAGAGGAACGTATCGCCTCCATCTTCAGGTAGAAAAATATATCACCTGCTCACACTGGTTCCTCGCTCATGGATTTTTCTACCCTGAACATGGAGGCCATATGTGTCACTTGTGAGGCGTAACTGCAAAATTTTCATGCCGTAGGCATGCTTATGAATATTAATATGAAGAAAAAATGCTTTGTTTAAAATTAGACTTATTTATTCAAATTTTAAGCACAAACCTTCAATCCCCTTCAAAGTACTCTCCACTTACACTAATACACTTGTCTAGTCTTTTATTCCATTTTTCAAAACATTGTCTAAATTCATCTTTTGAGATGCTTGACAGTGCCTCCGTCGTTTTTTCCTTTCATGTCTCTTTTCATTCGAGGAAACAAAAAAAAGTCGCACAGGGCAAGGTCGGGTGAGTATGGAGGGTGAGGAACAGGGGTCATACCATTTTTGGTCAAGAATTATCGTACAGAGAGGGCTGTGTGAGCAGGGGCATTGTCATGATGGAAAAACCAGTCACCCGACTGCCACAAATCTGGCCGCTGAGCTCCAAGTCACTCCCGACAGCTCCACAATTTCTTCAATGGTTCGTTGTCAATCTTCCTTGATGACTTCACAAATTTTTTCAACATATTCATGTCTTCAGGCCATGGAAGGACGACCAGAACGAGGTTTGTCATCAATTGACATTTCACCATTTTTGAAATGGGAAAACCACTCAAACACTTGAGTTTTTCCCATAGCATCGTCCTTGTACGCCGTTTTTAACATTTCAAGAGTTTCTGTTCCACTTTTCCCCAGCAAAAAGCAGAATTTCACCGCCGCACGCTGTTCACGAAAATCAGCCATTGCAAAAACGATGATCACACAAAACAGTTGTCACTATAAACTCTGCCGAAACTAGTCCTTACCTTCTGAAGCAACAGTAGTCGGCTTATCGACTCAGGAATGTTAGCTCTATGCGCTCATAGCGGCAAAACACGGTACTACAAAAGCTCTGCCCACAAAAAAATTAGCTCAGTTTCTTTTGGGTACCCCATCGAATATCAGATGGCACTACAATTGTACTCACATCTGAAGTTTGTGAACTGCCATGTTCATAGGGATTAAAGAGTATGGCAGGGATACTTGATAGCTTGCAGCAGTAACAATTGGTGTATAAATCTTAGTTATGTGAGTCTAGAAGTAATATAATAATAGAATTAATTTTTAAATTTGTTATGTATAAAAATCATATGTAGGGAAGATTGCAGTCTCATAGTCACTGTTGTGAGAACTCTCATCCAACATTATACATAATGTTTCAAATCAGTGGTGCAAAATTAAACTTTGCAGATGAGTATCTGAGCAAAACATGGCAAGGCAAATCACATGGTTCACCATTGCGAGTGCTTGACATGTGCTGTGGGAAAGGAGGTGATTTGCTCAAGTGGCGGCGAGGCAACATCACTCACCTAGTGTGTGCTGATATTGCAGAAGTGTCAGTGGATCAGTGTCAGGCCCGTTACAATGAATTGCAGAATCGGAGCAAGAATGAACGGGGGTTTGCTCCTGTCTTCACAGCAGAATTCCTTTCTGCTGATTGTACAAAGGTTAGTTCCTGTTTTATTAAGTCACTTCTTATGTATGTTTTAAATCTGATAACATTCAGTTCATCTTTGGTGGCATTAGTGATAGTCTGTTTTTTAACTCCCACAAACAGTTTATTTAAAGCATAGTTATCATGAATGGTGGAAGGGTTGAATTGCAGAATATAAAGCGTGTTTTGTTTTTGTCTCAAAAACTGTTGTGACAAACAGTATGACCATTAAATCTTGTTTCAAGTAAATTTTACCACCAAAATTACAGTTAATTTTTTAGTTCAGTTCTCAAGTTGCTCTTTGATTTGTTTTTTGATGGTTTCTTATGACCAGTGCAAGGAAATGCCTATGAACTGAGTAACAGACTGACTGTGGTTAGCATCTTGAATGATTGATTAGTGGTGGATTCTAAAGGGTTCTGATGATGGTATATAACATTCAGAATTAATGGGGTTTTGGACTTTGTCCATCGTTCAGTATTCTGAAAACTAGAGAATACAACATCTCTGAAATAGGGTCTGTTTCCATCCTCAGAGGGGGGGGGGGCAGCTACTCTGTTTGGCCCCGTAGAAAGAGGTATGGTTTTAGTAATGGCAGTCTTTCATATCAGTTGTTATGTAGTCTTGCTTGAATGATCAGATTGAGGTTGCCTGACCTTGAGAAGAAAATGCAAATGGTAGCTGAACATGTTTTACACAGCAGTCTGTACTATTGTTTATTGTGTACAACTCACTGCATGGACAAAGGACATTAGTTCTCTTTGTATTTCTGTTCCCATAAGATCATTCACAAGTCTTTTATGTTCTCATTTACAGTATGAAATTCAGTTGGTGAAATATACACCTGAACAGTGGATCTTTCTGTATGATGTTTGTGATAAAAATAAATTGTATAAAAAGGTTCACCACATTTCCCAGAGTTCCAATTTCATCAGCAGTCCTCAGATTGGTTAACAAAATGCAGTCATCTGGGTCTTTTGTAGACAAAAAATACACTGTGTAAGATACTGTACAACGCAAAAAAAAAAAACTTGATGAAGTTGGAGTCAGATTAGAATGTTTGTCTAGCAGATGCATGGTATGATTAGCTCGCCAGGCACAGGTCTTGATGACACCAGTGTTGAAAGCATTTAAAGTGTTGCATCTGCTGCCATATAAAATTAGGCAGGTTGAAGTAGTTGATAGCGATCATGAGAAAACACATTTCTGTGCCTGGTTTTTGCAGGCAGTACATGACAGCATTCTTGACCCAAAACTTAACATTTTCTACAGAAAAAGCATTGTTTTGTCTGATTAGGTATATCGATATTGACCATAATGCTGTTAAGTGTTATAGTGTCTAGACATGGGGTTTGGATTGGGAATTGAATTTATTGGGCTCTTGAAACTCATAGCTACAATTATAGTGCTGTTGCTAATTTACACACTTAACAGTTCACTGCGGCATGCACTAAGTCTTCTACGTCTTCGCTAGGTGTCGCTACACAACAACTTCCAACAATGGGGATGCCTCTGTGCTCACACCTCTGCCAGGGGGCGACTGTCTCACAACAACCTGAGACTTGGACTGGTTTGTCTCCCTCTGTACTAACTATCAGTTTCAGTTCCAGTTCCCTGTATGTAGCCTCGGAATGGACCGCACGGAAAACTCAGCTGCAGCAGTTGTTTGTTTGCATTTTTGTGTTCGTCTTGCATGTGACATAACTTGCTAAATATTTACCAGAGCAAAACTGTTCCTAGCAGAAGTTGTAGAGAATAATTAAACATGCATTTTTTCATGACTCTTATTGGTTTTTGAGATGACAAAAGTGAGCTGATGTTCCATAATATCATTACACTATGTAGAGATTTACGAACTTTTTCCATCATGCAGCAGTGTCAGAAATGTTGTTTGGTTTGATACAACTTGGGGCAGGGATATTCACATAATCCCACACGGTACATGAAATCCAAGAACTCTCATTTCAATGTGTTTCTGTGAAAGGGTATAGAAAATTGTCTATTTGATTGTGTTCCTTCTGTAAAAGTAAAGGTTAAGTTATCTCTGGGCTTAATTAGTTAAGCAGCATGACATGAAGATGTATGGATAAGTGGAGGTATAGCTCCACTATTCCTAATCTTGGCACAAGATGGGCATGAGTGGTTCAGCTTCATGCTCCTGCTTTTTTACTTATTGGAAACAGGCTCCCCCACCAGTACCCATTCTGTAGGAGGCTGAGTGGGCCTCAAGGCTGGTCTCAGTGTCATGGAAAGAAGACAGAAATCTCTTGCCCCTCCTGCCAGGTATTGAGCACTGATACCTTGGTCATCCAGCCTAGTTGCTGAACCAACTGAGCGATCCCAGCTTCCATTCGTCTCTACAAATAAGAAATACAGACAGGTGTATTATTATTCTCATCTGCAATTTTGGATGGACTGAGGAGGAAGCATATTTCTAAGTGCTGTTACAGCATTCACCTGGATGGATGAAGGAAACCCATGGAAAACCTCATGAAGGATAGCTGGTGTCTCAGCTAATATTTGAATTAGACACATCATGAATGTAAATTAGAAGTGTCAACTTGCTCAGTTAGATGTTTTGTTCCACCAACATTAGAATAATTTCAAGTTCAGTAATTTGATTCACTGGCTTCAACATGTGAAAGAATTTGACATCTGTGGTGTAGCTTGAAATGAGACAGTCAAGAGGAAAGCGGTACAGAAGCATTTGTGAGAGACTGTTGGTTAGGCAACTTACTCTGTTTCAGGTTTTAGCCATTCTTATTGGTGTATAATTATGTATGAATAAAAACGTAAAAAATAGTATATACAGAACTATAATTTTGCCTGTGGTTCTGTATGGGTGTGAAACTTGGTCTCTGACATTAAGGGAGGAACATAGGCTGAGGGTGTTTGAGAACAGGGTGTTGAAAATATTTGGCCTGAAGAGATATGAAGTGACAGGAGGTTGGAGAAAACTGCATAATGAGGAGCTTCATAACTTGTACTCTTCTCCAAGTATAATTAGAATAATCAAGTCAAGGAGGATGGGGTGGGCAGGTCATGTAGCATGAATGGGGGAAACGCATGTGTATAGGATATTGGTGGGAAAGCCAGAAGGAAAGAGACCACAGGGAAGACCAAGGCGTAGGTGGGTGGATAATATTAGAATGGATCTTAGAGAGATAGGATGGGATGGTATGGATTGGATAGATCTGGCTCAAGATAGGGACAAGTGGAGGGCTCTTGTGAACATGGTGATGAACCTTCGGGTTCCATAAAACATTGGGGAATTCTTGAGTAGCTGCAGAATTGGCGGCTCCTCCAGAAGGGCTCAGCTCTATGAGTAAATAAGTAAGTAAGTAAATTATGTATGAATAAATGCACTATCAGGGCACTGATTGCAATCTGTCTTCCTACCAGACCAGACATAATACACGTAAAATAAGGTACCTGTCAAATAATATAAAAAAACCAAATAAAACTGCATGCATACTAACGGGCATCCAAGTAGTTAACCAACTTCATACGTGTATATGGCAAGAAAATTATGATCATATGTCCGCAAAAACAAGAAATATAACATAACAATACAATTGCAGCAATATACAAACTAAGACATATTACACACAAAACATTCAATTAAATTTTAATTGTATAACTTATTCCTTTAAAATATCTTTATCTTTTATTGTATTTTATATTTTGTATTATTATATTGTGATATATTTGTCAAGAATCCAGCACTTTTGCACCAATCACATAAAATGCAGTTCACTGGTTTGAGAATGTGGTAATTGTCTATTTGCCTGATGATGGCTTTCTAAAAAGCTGAAATATGTAGCTAAATACTATTAAACATTAACTGTTTTGTTGTTGTGTTGTGATTAATAAAGAATTTTACATAGCTATATTGTTCAGTGCATATACTGTTATCTTTGCATTTCATATTCTGTACTTGTCACAATCGCCAGAGCATCTACAAATAAGATTATGTTTAAAATAAAGTACTTTATTAAAACATATTTGATCACCTGCAGTTAATCTTTATGACTCTGTCGATGTAAATATTAAGACAAAAAAAATATATAAATTTCCATTTAATCTGGCCAGGCACAAGAAGAGGGATGTAAATGTCCTGTGTGGTGAAGGTTAACTGTACAAGAAATGAACATTAAAACTTTTCAGGAAAATTTAATTTAGATTTATGTCAAGGCTGATTTCTGCCATGTGACATCTTGATTACATCTTTTAAGATAGCAGTCGCCTGAAAATTCAAATCTCTTGTAGGTTTATTTTGGGCAAGTGTAATTTGTAATCTCTACTTGACATGAAGCCCAGATAAAATTAATTGATTTTCTCAAAGACAGCTCACCATACAAAAAGTTGCAGATGACATTAAATAGAGATCTAATTAAGACCTGCATATTGCATTAGTGTTATTTTCTGAATATGTAACAAACAACAAGGAAGTATAAATTATAATTGTGTGGTGTGTGAATAGCTTTGCAGTAATGTTGGCCACTTAAAGCATGATTTGACTTTCGCCACTTTTTCTGTTTGTAGTCTCTTCAGACTGTATTAGCTAATTCAATTGCCTTCCTGTTGCCATTTGAGTGTGAAAATAATTTATATCTCTGACACTAAGACTGTATAGTCGGCTGCACCATAGCTCAAGTGGTTAGTTGCTGGCTTCCCACCATGGTGGCCCGGGTTCCATCCCGGGCCTTGTGAAGTGGGATTTGTGGTGGACAAAGTGGCGCTGGGGTGGGTTTTCTCTGAGTACTTTTAATTCCCCTGCCAATCTTCATTCCACTAAATTCTCCATCATCATAATCTCCTGGGCCAGGCTACAATAGGCCAATCAATGGCCGCCATGCCGAGTGAACCCAGTTGGACTCTACCCCCCACTAAGTAAATTTAAAAGAAAAAGACTGTATAGTCACTAATTGAAATCAAGGGTAATGTGATAGTGGCCTCCGTAGTCTAGAGGTAACGTTCCCACCCCATGACTCATACGCGGGTTCAAATACCCGACGGAGGTCGAATTTTTAAGGGCGGAAAAATTCAGAGAACAAGTCCTCCAGGAGGGACTTTAAGCCATGGGTCCCATGTCGTAGCTTTACAGCACGTAAAAGAACCTCATATCTCCAAAGGAGGTCACTGAGCCAAATTATGGACGTTTCCCGCCCAACAGCAGTCTCTAATACCTCTGGTAGATGGGGGAAGCATTATAGATACCTCTCAGCCAGTAGAGCCGGTCTCGCTGGCTGGGCGGACTGATGGTAAGCACCAGTATCGGTAGGATATAGAGACTGGTAGAAATCATAGAGGGAAGCACAATGGACCAATACAGGTCTAAGTGCATGGGGAAACCCACCCTCTCCAATAACTAACTAAGGGTAATGTGATCTGTAAAACTGAAAAGAAGGCATTTGGAAAATATATATCTATATCCAATTTGGCATACTCTTTTCCCCCCATTATGGAGCAGTCAAGTTTATCAACTCCAAGATAATTTTGTAACATCTGAAAAACCAAGGACCATCATAAATTCACCTGCTTGTAAAATTCCTAGCTGAAGTATGTTTGTTGTGAAGAAGAAACCATCTGGAATGCTCTGAAAACTTGGAAAGCAATAGTATGCAGAAAGTTTGTTGCACTTCTCTGCACAACTTTCAATTCAAGAAAATTATGAATGTTAGTTTGAGGGGTTAGAAATGAGATGAAATTAGATACTATACAAGGTTGGGCAAATAAGTTTTGTGAATATTTTTTTAAGAATTTATTTTAAGAGCTGCAGATATAGCAGCCTAGAATTTTCGAAGTACTCTTCCTCCAATTTTTTACAATGTTCCCAGTGTTCGGCCATTGTTTAAAACAGTTTTTAAAACCCTGAATAGGAGTGTCTGTCAGATTTTTTTTTTCCACAGATGATTTAATGGCCTAAACATCCAAGAAATGTTTTCCATTCATCCCACTCTTGAGTTTTGTAAACAGCCAAAAGTCAGCTGGAGCCAAGTCAGGATGATACATGGTGGAGATGCTTTTTCCTGCTGGAAACTGATACCTAAAGCGAGAATGTTCCAGCACATTGTCATGGTGAAGAATCAATGAGTGATCTCTCCACAACTCCCCTCTCTTGTGCCTCATGACATCAATAAGCCTTTTCAGCACCTACACACAGGATGTCTGATTAACAGTGGATTCTTCAGGTACAGATTCAAAGTGGAAGATACTCCTGATGTCAAAAAATCAGCTCAACATTATTTTGATCTTGGACTTTGACATCTGTTGCTTCTTTGGCTTGGAGGAGTTCTTCAATCTCCACTCCATGGGCTGGTGTTTGGCCTTGGGATCATACTGATAACACCATGTTTCATCACTAGTGATGACATGATCCAAAAAATTATCCTCTTGAATTTGTTGTGCAATGTCCATGCACAAAGTGAGATCTCTGTCCTTTTGTTCCTCCTCTAAGTTTCTCTGCTTGAGCTTCACTGCTAACTTTCTCATGCCAGGATCCTGTACTCAGATTTTTCTAACAGTCTGTTCATATCAAGCTTATCAGCTGTCATCCTGCTAATTAACTGGCAGTCAGATTACACAAGTTCTCAATTTTCCCGGTATTTTCATCCATTCAAATCATTACAGGAGCAACTTATCTTTCATCATATTTCACATCTCTGCCTTCTCTGAAACGTTTGTACCACTTAGAAACATTACTCTTGCGCATAGCAGATTCACCGTAAACTGTTTTTAACATGTTTAAAGTTTCACTTGGCAGTTTCTGCAGTTTGACACAAAATTTCACATTCACTTTTTATTCCATTGTACACTCGATTTTCGCATCTGAACAAAGTTCACAGTACATGGTAATCTAACAAGCTTCTGTTCAATGATACTGAATGCAGCTTATCAAAACTTTCTGTGTGAGCTGTGTGTTGTTGCATCACTCAACATTCCAAATAACAGCATTGAAAAATCATCCATCACAAAATTAAAAATGAGTGTCAAAACTTATTTGCCTGATGTTGCATGTAATAAATATTGCTTTCTATAATTGGTTATGTTCCTACTTTTAGGTCCGACTCCGGGAGAGATACAAAGATCCGTCCATGGAACTTGATCTAGTGAGCTGCCAGTTCTCATTCCACTATTGCTTTGAGAGCCTGCCTCAAGCAGAGACCATGTTGCTTAATGCTGCAGAGTGCTTGCGTCCTGGTGGTTACTTTATTGGAACTATCCCCGATGCATATGAAATTGTGTGAGTATATGCTGAATATTAGTGGATCCAGAATGAGAAAGTAAGATAAATTGAAACCGAAATGCATAAGTACAATTAAAAATAGTAGACACTTTATAGGACAGTTTGAATATAGGGCAGACTGTGGCTTAGAGAGAAACCCTGAAGATGATCTTCACATAACTCTTAATATGATTTTAATTAACGTTTATTATCCAGGACTAAGGCCTTTAAATATCAGGGATAGTGGCAGGATTTTAACTTATGGTAAGAGTGTTAGTATTAAATTGCTAAAATATTCTAGTGAAAAAGTCTTAAACTGAATCAATTCTGAATACTGTAGTGACAGTTTTATATTATTACACTGTTGTGTTCAGTAACATTCATAGATCTTTAAAATTACATAAAATATTTTATGTATAAAATGAAATACGTAGGGCAGTCAAAAAGTTCCCGGAATTCCCCTGCAGACGGAGAACGAGTGATAAGATAGCACACACACTGTTGTGGTGGGGAGCTCAGCATGTCTGTTCGCAGGCGCAACAGGTCTGGACAGGTTTCAGTGTGCAGTGTCGTTACTGTTCCTTAGAATTAAGACTTGAGTCTTGGTTATTCGGCACAATGTCGCAGTTCGAACAGTGTGCTAACATCAAGTTCATTTGCAAATTGGGAAAATCTGCTTCAGAGACGCAATTGGCCCTGCAGCAAGTTTACGGTAATACTGCACTAAAGAAATCCGCAGTTTACGATTGGTTTTCCCGGTTAAGAATGGGCAGGAGACGTTAGAGGATGACCTTCGACATCCAGAACCGAAGAAATGATTAGAAAAGTGAGACAACTGATTCGATGTGATCGAAGAATGACCATCGCGGAGTTGGAGCAAGAAGTTGGTATCTCTCTCAGATCTATTCATGCAATTTTGTCTGATGATTTGAAGATGAGACGAATCAGTACGAAGTTTGTTCCGAGGCTACTGACAACGGATCGGATGGAATGTTGGGTGATGGTCACTGGCGATCTGTTTGACAAAAGTACACAGGACCTGATGTTTCTCAAAAAGATCATCACTGGTGAAGAGTCATTGGTGTTCGCCTACAACCCGGAGACGAAGATGCGGTCATCGGAGTGACACACAGCATTGCCTCCCCGGCCAAAAAAATCATGCCTCGTCAGATCCAAAGACAAAATGATGCTCATTGCATTCTTTGACATCGACGGTTTGGTGCATCTTGAGTTCATACCGCCTGGACACACTGTTACTGGCCATTTCTACGTGTAAGTATTGCAGAGGTTGCGCGATGCGGTTCAGAGGAAGTGGCATGACGGTGGCAGGGACAGTGGTTTCTGCATCACGATAACGCACCAAGCCACACATCGCTTGTTGTGCAGCAATTCCTCGCCAAGAAAAACATTCCTGTCATCACTCGACTACCGTACTCTCCGGATCTTGCTCCGAGTGACTTTAGGCTGTTCCCTACTCTGAAAATGGGCCTCAAGGGGGGCACATTTTGCAACCATGGAGGACATCAAATCCACCGCTGCTTCCAACAATGGCAGGATCGATGGAGTAAGTGTGTGCGCTTGCAAGGGTCTTACTTTGAAGGTGATTATGTAAGCGTTGCCATATGTCCTACCATTAGAGTGCTATGTGACCATTCTGGGAACTTTTTGACTGCCCCTCATATATGGCACTTCGTTTCTGGAAATGGAATCCTTGAAAATACTTATTTCCGTACTGGCACAATAGAGCCTCTTCCTCGTCCAGCAAAGCACATGTAACACCTCATTTGGCCCTTCTTTGATAAGACTTGCCTGTTTTGGAACCAAACTCAATGTCCGTGGACAGTGGTTAATAACACAGTGGAGATCGTTTGCTCTGCTGTCCCACTTGGAAAAGAGGCTGCAGTACTCTGTACCTAGGTTGCATTCCTGGTAGTGGTGTGATCGCTTGTAGATTGCCACACATACAGTATGTGCAAGTTGTATTTGTACATGTAGTTTCATGAACAAGGAATTCCATATTTTAATGATTCCTTCATGTGCACTATGTGATCAATAGGAACTGATGGGTAAATATTTCATTTATATAAAAGATTGGCTCTCTGCCATTTCATTGTTCAAAGACAGCAGGTCTTGAATAACAGAGCGTCTAAAATCAGTGACTTTTTCAGCAGAGTATCTGCAGTGTAAGCTATGGGTATTAGGCATCATCATCTGAAATATTTGTGGTCCGTTTTCTTGTACTACCAGATTTTTTCCCCTCACAAGGAGAGTATGAAATCGTTTGAAGTTAGACTGTTGCACCCCCGCACAGTTCTATGCCATGCTTTTGGGTGCCAATTTATATCCCATTGCAGCCATGCTTGTGAAGCCGTCAACACTTGCTGATCCTCTGGAGTTCTGTTGAATGACTAGCTCCTCTTACGGTGGTGTAAGCAGATTATCTTACCTCAGGGTATATTGGACCTTGTTTGGGCATGCAAGAGAACACAGTAATTCTTGGCCAACCTTTATGATAATTATGCAGTCACTATATGTTGTTTTTATTACTTTTACGTATATATGTCATAATTCACCTAAAACATAATTTATGTTTGTACATTTTGAGAACTTGAACCTGAGTTCATGTCTTCACTTTTTGGAGACTTACACCAGAGTGCTTTTCTGGATGAAACATCCTGATGCTTCAGAAATTGAGATTGCTTTGGTTCACAAAAGTTGACTCCCACATTACCTGTGATTGGCTTAATTTTAAATTTGGTGGTCTTAATTTTTATATTTCCTCTGAAATGTTAATATTCAGTGCAAAATTTTTTTGTTTTTATTTTTGTTCACAGGAAAAGGCAACAAAATGCTGGTGATACTTTTGGAAATGAAATTTACAAAGTAGAATTCCAGTGTGACACAGAGCCACCATTGCCTCTGTTTGGAGCAAAGTATAACTTCCACTTGGAGGGGGTGGTGGACTGCCCAGAGTTCCTTGTGCACTTCCCGACACTCGTGAAGTAAGGGCCTGTTTGTTGACTAGCTTCGTATTTGTGTTATAACTGGGATGACCCTGGCTGGGATTCTACTTGAAATGGGCAGTGAGTGGTCCATCCTCACTTAAAATCTCAGCTCTAAAGCCAACATCATTATTGTGCAGTGTATATATTATGACATCCTGAAGATCAGAGTCTTTGAATCAGAGGTGTGTTGCACAGGCATCCATTCCTAGGTAACATCAAGCACCAGTCACCAACAGCCACATATGTGCTTAGAAACCAACCCTTCAGCCACGTGTGTTCACAGCAGTTGGGTAACTGTTGGGAGCAGTGTTTATGGAGGGGTTTGCAACAAAATGATATACACAGAATCTGCAAGCTAACAAAGTAGTCCCCATTATCAGAGCCTGAAACCTAGTAATGCACATGTGAAGACAGAGCCAGCAACCAAGAGTGGTGTAACATACTGGAACAGAGTGCATACTTGTAAACTGCATAATTATTTGTAAATAAGATGATTTAGTGACCAGTAAATCCAGTTACTTATCTGAATCCGTATCTAGTCAATGTCATGTGACATTATATATTATATATATATATATATATATATTATATACAGTATATTAAGAAATGAGACAATGATGACCATTACCAGTGTGTCTAGTGTAGTAAATGCCGTTATCTAATTCCATAAGATTTTGTTTTGAAAGTTTAACCTTTATTTTCTGGTTTGAGGAAAATACTGGTATGAAAGATTGGCTTAATATGATTTTAGATTTCATTAGTATAAAGTCCCCTTTGACATTTCTGCAAGTTTTTGTAGTGGTCTTTAAGCTTGTGAATAAATAAAGGAGTAAGTCACTCTGTATTTTCTATCTCATATCCTTCCACAATCCACCATTCACCATCATGCTTACATTTCCATTCAGTGCTAAGTAACCCTCTAGCTGATGCACGTAGTGAAGTAAAAAATTATCCGCACTCTTGTTATTTCAGTTTATATAAACAAAAGTAGGGGGTTGAACAAGTACATCATTTTTCTACATAGTCTCCTTCCTTTTTGATGCACTTGGTCCAGCAGTCCACAAGCTTGCGTATTCCTTCCAAGAAGGATTTTGGTTGGTTGTGCAACCATTTATGCATTGCTTCTTTGTCTGTAGAAAATCGATGACATCGTAAAGCATCTTTTAGTGGTCTAGAGAGATTATAGTCGGAAGGAGCAAGATCTAGGCTGTAGGCAGGGTGTTCCAGCACCTCAAAACCCAAATGGTTAATGGTTTCAACGACCTAGCTGGCCATGTGTGGGTGTACATTGTCATGCAGCAATATTTTCTTTGACAATAGGCCTCGGCGTTTGGTGTGAATTGTTGGCCACCAAATCACTGTATCTTGCACTGATGATCATACTACCTTTTTCCAGATAGTCTTCCAGTATAGCACCTTTGAGTCCCAAAAAATGGTTAGCATCACCTTTCCCGCGGAAGATTGGGTCTTGAATTTCTTCTTTGTTGGCAATCTCGGGTGTTTCCATGCCATAATCTGGCTATTGGATTCTGGCTCATAGTGATGGACCCACCGATGAATTTTAGCCCCTGACACACCTTCCACCCAGAGAAATCTGATGACTATTCTTCGTTAATCCTTGGTGCACACTGCTAGCAGAGTGGCCATGTTTACACTGTCACAGCATCAAGGAAAATGACATGGTCAAGGTCAAGCTTCAATCACGTGACCACAGTAGTACCAACTCTAAGCATGCATGCGCAGATAGCAGTGTGACAAACCTAAAGATGTGTTATGGCAAAAGTGCACATAATTTCTGACTTTCCCTCTTAATAAATAACAAAAGAGAGAAAGGGAACTAATTATAAATTCTGTTTACAGCTAGTACTCTGATAGTATAACCCAAAAATTTAATACTGCAAATATCAAAGCTTACAATTGGTCATGAGATCCTGAGCCTCTTTCATTTTTCTGCTCTTATCACCATTTTTAGACGCTACATGCAAATGACTAAGACCACCAAGTATTTAAGAGTTAAATATAACACTTTCACTTCATGCATGTCTGCTGCTGGCTTACTTCCTAGCAATTTTTGACTGTACCCTGGCAGTTTGCAATATTTTGTGGTAACGAAAAGACTAGCAAATGATCTGCATATATCCAAGGAATTCCAAAATATAAGTGTGTGCACCATCTAGCAACAGAGCAACAGCTCGTAGAGCTTTAGAAAGTGAAATTTTCTGTCTTGTGGTGTTTTACTATCCATTTCATGGTTGGTTTAGATAATTTGGATAGAGCCCTGATAAATGACCAAATTCAGATAATGGGAGGAAATGTGTTATGAATAAGTATTTTTTCTGTAAAATTGCTTATATTAATTTATTTTAGATCATGATATACTCAGATGTCTTTCAGGCTGGCTGAGAAATATGGCCTACAGCTAGTAGCCAAGGAACGTTTTGATAGCTACTATGAGAAGGTTAGGGAAGAGGGGCGATCACTCCTGGGCAAGATGCAAGCTCTTGAGGTAAGCGTGAAAGATAATTGCAGTTTTATATTCACATCAGTAATATCACATCTACGTCTAAAGAGACGTCTATGAAGATGTGGTCTGGATTCATTTGGCACAGGACAGGGATCAACGGCAAGCTTTTGTTAATGATACAGAACCTTCTGCTTTCAGAAATAAGCAAGGGATTTCTTGATAGTTTGAGTGGATTAGCATGTCTGAGTCTGTTCCATATATTTAAGTAATATCTCTGAGTCACTTAAGTTTTGTGGTGGTCTAGGGATAAGGCACTGGACTCCTGTGATAAAACATTTTAGGGGTTTGAGACTGGATAGAATAAGTGTGGATCATGATATTTGCTTTACTCATTTGTATCCAAATATAAAGTCAAAATGTTGTGAGGAATACCAGGATTGAGCTATGGTTCACAGACGTTCACATTAAGTTTAAAAGGGTATGCTAGCCACCATTTTCAGAACCCCTGGAAGTAACAAACTCCTACCCTGTGACTGCTTCCGCAAAAATTTGTTCCTTTACAATTTGGTTCATTGAGAAGAGGCCTATATTTTTCCTTGTTTTGACAAATTGCAAAGCTGTCTTTTTCTGCACTCTAATAGTCTTTGCTAATGCCAAAGAGTTATTTTGTGGTTCCAGGCTGAGGCTAAATCCTCTTTTCTGGTCATATATCACTGGGCATAGACCTGTCTTATGGGTGCTTTAAGGTATCCTTGTCATGCAAGGTAGGAAAACTCAACAAGATGTTGGTCCCCTCCCAATACACATATAACGTTTTATAATTAAAAAATTTTCTGACTTAGTATCTTTCATTATTTCTGGAACATGCTTGTTCATCAGATATCTGTCACTGCTACAAGATGTGAAGTGTTGGACAATCAGCTGTGTCATGGCTTAGCTGAGAACCAGTATTTCAGAATCTTTAGCTTTTCTCTCATGTTCTGTTGAAAATCATGATTATTCATCAGTCATCCACATAGCATTTATAATAAGTTCCTAATAAGCACTTCACTAATCTGTTTTTATTTTTCAAGAATGGGCACCTGATGATGATCACTAATTGATTGAAACATCTTGTGGTTTCAGAAATAAACAACTAATAATTAATTATTGATTTGCTATCTACAGTGACCCACCTAAAATTGTGACCGCAAATTATTTTCTTATTTCAGCATGAGAAAACGTTTTTAGCCTACATTCTTTCTTTTGAAAAAATGAAAGCGAGCTTATGCAATCGTCACCCTGTATGTGTGTCTATGTATGCCACCATATTAATTTTTGAATGGCTGAACCAGTCTTTGTGAAACTTGGTATGTATATCATGGCACCTGATCCCATCTCAACTGTGCACTTCATAAACCCCTCCCATCAGTCCCCTTGTGTATATTTCCCTATTGTTCCTAGGCAACGGCTCAGTAAAAATGTTAACAGCAGCAACTAATACACATGCAACAATAGAAGAAATGTTAGTCTCATTGTTTTCTCTGCAGTCCGTTTTGTATCAAACGAGAGTCTGTGGGTCTGTTTGTGTATCCCCATGTTGCTAGGCAACAGCGTGGTAAACACTTCCCTGCGGCAATGAGGAATTGTTGGGGGGTGTATTTTATGCGGTCTGTGTCGTGTTAAAGGAAAGTACATGATTGGTTCTTCCCAGAACTTCTTGTTTTAAAATCAAGTTTGTAAAATGTCCAGCAAGCTGCTAGTTCACTATAAGACATTAATTATGGAATCATTATTATGGATGTTTAATGATCAAATTACTTATTTTAAACAGAACCCTGTCTATTTATTTAGGCTAGTGAAGTATTACAGATTCAGTGCTCTTCTATATAGACATGTTTTGCAGACATACCCACCTTTCCATGAAGCACCACTGTTAGGACGTGTCCCAGAGGACTATGAACATGTGCAGCAGTACATGCAGAAGTCTACAGGACACCGGAAGGTTGGAACATTATCTGAGTCTGAGTGGAAGGCAGCATGTAAGTGCCCTGTCATATACTTTGTATAGGAGATCAGTATGATCAGTCTCTTGAATAAGCTGTGCACTCCCCATTCACTTTCGGAATACCATATTGAAACATCACAAGTACATGACATACGTCATTTCTCAGCATATTTAGCGTAGTATGTAGGCCCATGTGTAATCCATTCTCATGTCTGAATTGCTGAAAAAATACACACCATACACCTAAGCATGCCTGAGTCATTTTATAATTTTTTAGTTTGCACATTTTTGTTATGTCCATAAAGTTGTACAATTTAGAGGACTTGTGTGAAATACAAGAGCAAATCGAAAAGTCTTTGCCCCTATTTTTTTTGGCCACAATAATAAACATACAGGGAAATCAAAATACAGGCAGTGTTCTAAGTATATAGTCACCACCCCAGTTCAGGCATTTGTCCCATCGCACCACTAGTTTGGAGATACCGCTGTTGTAGAATTTGTCTGGTTGAGCACGTAACCACCTCTGGACAGCGGTTTTCGTGTCATCGTCCGAAGTGAACCTCTGGCCAGCCAGGAACTTCTTCAGTGGACTAAATACATGGTAATCATTGGGGGCGAGGTCTGGACTATACAGGGCATGCTCCATAATCTCCCATCCGAATGACTGCAGTCGGGTGGTGGTCCTGTTTGCCACTTGTGGCCTGGCGTTATCATGGAGGAGAACCACATCGTCCACGAGAATCCCCAGGCTCTTTTACCTGATGGCAGGTTGCAGACGTGCGAATGTGCCACAATAGCTGTCTGCGTTGATGGTGGCACCTCGTGGCATGAAATCCATCAGGAGTGGTCCTCAGCAATCCAAGAACGTGACCATCAACTTCCTGACGGATGGTGTTCTGTGAAATTTCTTTGTGACAGGCGAACTTGGATGTTTCCACACCATGCTCTGCTGCTTGGATTCTGGAGTGAAATGCAATACCTACATTTCATCTCTGGTGACAGTGACCTCACCCCCAGTGATTACCACGTGTTTGGTCCACTGAAGAAGTTCTGGCATGCCAGAGGTCCATTTCTGACAACAACGCGAAAACTGCTGTCCAGTGGTGGCCCTCAACTGGCCAAATTCTACAACAGCAGCATCTCAAAACTAGTGGTGCGATGGGACAAATGCCTGAACCGGGGTGGTGACTATGTGGAAAAATAGTCAAAGGTACTTAGAACACTGCCTGTAATTTGATTTCCCTGTATGTGTATTATTGTGGCTGAAAAAAATAGGGGCAAATACTTTTCGATTTGCCTTTGTACCATCATGAAAATGTGAAAGAATATTAAAAAGAACAGTCCAAAGCAAATCTCTTAAAGTATTCAACTTATTTACAGAAGGAACCATTTTCCTAATGTTCATAGTGTGCAGTGAATGTTTAGAAGCATGGGATGTTTTTGCTGTCACATATTCTACAAAGATATGTAAACATGATTACAAAATGAGAAATTTCAATTAAGAAAATACATTAACTCTTTGACTGGCGCGGGCGTGTTTTAACGCCCGGATGATGCCAGCCGTTCCCTGGCGTTGGCGTGTTTTAACGCTTTGACAATCTCGTCCCATCTTTGCTCTCTTGGCACTCATCAACCAAAGACATATATATGATAGTTTTTGTGCATGTTTGTAAAGAACCCTTGTAAACTTTGTGGGGGTCTATATTACTGTCAGAACTCTCTGAGAAGGTAAAGGTTAGAAAATATTTCACATTCATTCAGTTTCACCATGGCTTCTTGCAGCAAGTGTCTTTGTGTTCCTACAGACCAGCTGGAAAATGTTGTGAACGAGATTTTTCCTGATGATGATAGTGGCGATGAAATAATGATTCCTGAATTGGATGAAGTTGATAGTGACAATAATACAATGATAGACAATGATCCACAAGACAGTAATCATGAACATTTACCTACCACGAGTGCAGTGCCTGACACGCCCATCTCATGAACGTACGGAGACGTTGTACCCCCAATATTTCCATTTGCTAATAGTTTCGGGATCAAAATTGATATAACACATAAAATGCATCCCTTTTCATGGATTAAAATTTTTTCTGGATGACGACTTGGTAAATCACATCACAACTGAAACCAATCGCTATGCTCACCAGCACTTCAACACACATGAGTTAGCTCCTCACTCTCGAAAACACAATTACAATTATGTCACATCAGATGAAATCTGGACATACTTAGGAATTGTGTTCATGACAGGAATCGACAAACGCCCTGAAATTGAAGAATATTTGTCCACTAGGCCCCTATTTCACACCCATGGTTTGGACAAAACATGTCTTTGCGGTTGAATAGTTTCATTCTATTCAAAAAGAACACAACAAACGAAAAATACAAGAAGAGAAATTACAGATTCAAAGATTTTATATTGGACTGTGTAGAAAAATGACTGAACCAAACAAACAGTGTGGAGAGGGAGAAAAGTCAAGGAATGAAGTGGATGACGAATCTATTGGGTCAGACTAGAGTGCAGTCACGCCTCCGCCCTCGACCTTGAAAAGACCACCAGTGAAAGAGCCAGCAAATCGTCTAGAGGGTGGCTTGAAAATTCACAAAATGGTCCATGTTCCTAACAGTAACAATAAGAAGAATGGTGCCCTGAGAAAGTGTCGCGTGAGTGCTAAGCACAAGATTAGAAAAGAAACAAGTATCATGTGTGCAGGCTGTGGTGTGGCTCTCTGCAAACTTTCATGTTTCAATGTTTATCACACGAAGAAAAACAAATAAAGAGGTGTGGAAAAGCATTTATTGCATAAAATATTGTATTTTAATTAGTTCCTAAAAATTTCGTTTTTAAAAACCAATTTTTGTTGAAGTTGTTTAGGAAAAAGTAACAACATGCATTTTAGCGACATAAGGTTTAAAGGGCCTGCCAGGACAGGGGTGGGATTTAAATACCCTTCGCGCCAGTCAAAGAGTTAATAGTACTTTCTTCTGGGATGTAACACCATGTGACCTGTCAGTGGTTCCCTACTGTTTTGGAGGAATTTGCTACCTCCATCTTTGGGGTTGACAGGAAATCCAAGAAAATAATCAAGCAATAAGCTGAAGAAGGTGGAGGCAGTATATTCTTCTGAAATGTCAGTTAACTTCTGCCAGACTACACGATATCAAATCCCTGTAGATAGTACTCATAATCACCACCATGAGAACATCACATCTCTCAAAGAAAAGATATGCAGTGTATTTGGATTAAGGATCCAGATGTTGAAGAGGCCCTTGGTCAGTGGTTCTCTCTTGTAACTGGACAAGGTGTGTCCACTGTCAGCACTGTCCACAAGGTGTGTCAGTGGTCCACTGTTGAAAAGCAAGTCAGAGGAGTGAGCTGGGTCGTAACTAGGGACCGGATTTTTATGCCATAATAATCTGTAACTGTGCATGCATTTATGCATGAAAAACTGCCAAAATATGCACATAAAAAGTACACACCAAGTATTAAAACTGATTTTACGTTATTTCAAGACCAACAAATCAACATTTAAATAATTTTTATGAAATCACTGAATGATTCACTTGCAATGAAATCTAGACTTAAATACAAATCATGCAACAAAGACATTTTTTCCTTACAAATTAAAACATAACCAATGGTACTCACATTTACGAGTAGCTCTCTAGGCTGTTTCAACTTTTTTTCTGTTGCAGTTTACAGTTACTAAATGTTTTAAAAGGTGGCACTAACTTCACTGACAAGTCATGGTCACTCGGTCGGTGTAGTTCACTTGTGGACTACAGGCCACAGAGGTTTTCAGGTTTTCCATAGTTAGTCGCATCCTGTTGTCTCGTAAGATGCCATTACAACAGGGAAAACTCCTTTCAACCTCACAGGAACCTAAGGGCGCTTGTACAAAATCTTGTCTATTTCGCATCCCCACGTGCTGCTGTTGCTGCTGCTGGTGGGTTGTGGCTACAGTCTGCCTAACTCTGCTCACCAACCATCCTTACCACCACCTTTTCTTGTTGCTGGAAATCAGTCAGTGGTTGAGTGCCAGTAAACTTATTTGAAATTGTTTACTATCTTGTAAGATTTGAGGCTTTCACGGCGGTGACTATGAAGAAAGCAGTCTTCTGGGATTTGGCACCGTGTCTGCTTTTACCGTTCTCACGGTCTTGTCGCTTGCAGATTTCTTATACTTTTTCTTCTACCCTGAAGATGGAGGTGATACGTTCGTCCGAAACGTCGGTTAACACCACATATACACGGTGCCAAATCCCAGAAGACTGCTTTCTTCTGTTTACTATCTTGGTGAAAAGAAAAGAAAAATTGTTACATTTTCATTCTCGTTTGATTTCATTCTACACATTCAGTCTTTTTAAAGAGAAAACTCAGGAAAAATTCTGTACTAACTGTAGAAATTTTCCCTTTCTTACTGTAGGTAATGAAGACAGATCTTAGGGTGACAAAAATTCAGTGGAAATTTTTTGCAGAAAAATACCACATTTCCTGCCATATGATATGAACATGACCTGTATATTCATAAGTATGGTATTAATATTGGATATGTCTGATTTGGTATATACTGGATATTGCCAGATTTTTATCACCCATCTGTAATTTTCTTTTTTCATATGCATATGAAGTATTTTTATGAACAGGGAAGAAAGAGGATCAGATAGTGATGCTACTGAATAAGATATTTTACACACTCAAGTGTAGTTGGTTGAGGCACTAGGCTACAAGCCGTAAGGTCGCCTGTTCAAGTCCTGATGAGGTCATTGGATTTTTTTCAGTTGCCCTGATCCTTCTGGCCGCACTTTGGCCCTGGGATCAACTCAGCCTCTAACAGAAATGAATACCAGGCATTAAATAATTTTCCTGGGGAGTAAAGCACGGCCGGAGCGTAAGTCTGACAACCTTACTGCCATCTTCGAGCCGATTGTCTAGATAACATCTCACAACCCTGTGGGCCTTCACTGCCTGTTACAGGGATAGCTTTACTTTTACACACTCAAGTGTGTTCAGTAGACTAGTGTTACACA